AATGATGTTTGAAAAGTAAACACACACACACATACACACTTTTTGGTTCCAAATACGATTTTTGTGACGTAATTAATTCCACCTGTTATGTCAAGTGGTCATATTACATGTCTAAACCCATGGCTCCCGTGGTTTGATATTTCAACAATAAAGAATTATACACACAAAACTAATATCCAATTTTAATTCGAATTTGCATGTGCATGTTGCAATACTTTACTACTAATATAAGTTCAAAACTCCAATTACCAAATGCCACAAAGGAAATAAACTAATCATAACTTCAAAAAAAATTGGATTATTTTATGTTACACGTAGTTTGGTTGTCTTTGCATATAGCCAATACGCAAGAAACAATAACTAAGTAGCAGTGTACGTAGCACATTTGGTTATTAGTCATATCAAAAAAACCCTCAAAAACATATATAGTTATTGGCTTTTAAAGATTATGGACCCATGAAATGAAACTATTGCAAAAAGTGACAAGTTGGTAGATATACACAAATAACGTGACAGCAAATGAGAAACCCATGCGACAATAAACTACACATAATAATATAAAACAGATCATACTTGTAGATATTTTCTTGCTTCCAATAATCTCAAAAGAGTGGTGAGCAAATATGGTTTTATATATACATTTTATAAGATTTTTTTGGATCCATATTCTTAACTAGGGAGGTTGGTGTGGGTTGGATTAGTGTCGGTCTATACTTCTTAGAATGCTGAATCCGATCTGGTCCCGTAGACTTTTAACACCATATATATAAATATTATAACATCCATAAACATTGTAAACACTACAAACAATTAGTAAAAGATAATATCGACGTTACATGACGTTGGCTAATTTGTATGAACACAAACCAAATCGTTCATATTCTAAAAAAAGGTGTATTCGAGAGATATTTTGAGTAAGCCGGTAGCAAGATTTTGCACAACACATTGACAGCGATGTAAGAATTCGTAATGATCTCACTAATAAGAGAGGAGAATCTTATAATTTAACAAAAATAAATATATGAATATTAAGAGGATAATATAATAATCAAGAAAGAAGACTTATATGATGATAAGCAAATTGTATATTTCAACTAAGGAGACGCCACATAAAGCACAATGAGGAGATAGAAGTAACGTTTGTTGACCAATGACTTGATGACTCAGAAGCATGTGAACATAACTAGAGACGTGTTAGAGTCTCATTGGCTGCAGACAATTTCTATTTTGTGCTTCACTGCCTCATCTTTGTCTATATAATGAAGTACATAACAACAAGAGTCTCTTTAACTTATAGTGTTGTTTCTTTTCAACTCTTTTATAAGAGAAATTAACTTTTTTAGATTTTAGTTTCTGATAAGGAGATCCTCGCGATGGCCGGAGGAGGGTTTGCGACTTCCGCGAATGGAGTCGAGTTCGAGGCGAAGATTACTCCTATAGTCATCATCTCTTGCATCATGGCTGCTACCGGCGGTCTCATGTTTGGTTACGACGTTGGTGTCTCTGGTAAGAATATTAACATCTCTTTCTATATTTGTAATACAATTCTTTTATCTTAAATATTATACCAAAAAGTAGAACAAGTTTTGATTTGAAGGATGGTTTTTAGTTAGTGCAAGTTTTCTCAAGTAATGATTTGTAAATAGAACTTGCTTATGTTTTCAACTACCACCAATAACTTTTTTGGTAGAACCATTTTCACCTAACATATGGAGGACTAATAGAAATAAAATAATATAAAACTTTATCAAAATGAAATTTCACTAATTAACTAGCTCAATGTTAATTAATTACTTTGAAGTAAGAAAAATAATTACAAAAGTTTGGCAACTAATGATCTTAGCTAGCTAGACAGGTCCCTGTGTTTAGTAGTATAATGACAAAATTAGTGTCATATGGTTTAGTGATTCTTTTTGTTTTGTCACCTACGACACACATGCTCAACGTTGAATCTGAACATGGGTTTATGACACATCAACACTAGTAAACAATATTTTGAGTACTTTGATATTATGAGAATCTTCTAAGTTTCAACATAAGCTTACACAGTAAAAAGTTAATTTTATCATCAATTTGACTATGTATAGGTGGAGTGACATCGATGCCAGACTTTCTCAAAAAGTTCTTTCCGGTGGTTCACAAGCGAGTAGAAGCCGGAGCCGACAAAAACAACTACTGCAAATACGACAACCAAGGGCTACAACTCTTTACATCATCTCTATACTTAGCTGGTCTAACCGCAACGTTCTTCGCTTCATACACGACAAGAACGCTCGGACGAAGACTAACTATGCTCATAGCTGGTGTTTTCTTCATCATCGGTGTAGCTCTCAACGCGGGAGCTCAAGACCTAGCCATGCTTATTGCAGGACGGATCTTGCTTGGTTGTGGAGTTGGGTTCGCTAACCAAGCTGTTCCTTTGTTCTTGTCGGAGATTGCACCAACTAGGATCCGTGGTGGTCTTAATATTCTCTTTCAGCTTAATGTCACTATTGGTATCCTCTTCGCCAATCTTGTCAACTATGGAACCGCCAAGTAAATATCTCTTCCCTTTTAATTTTATTTTTTTATTTGATAATATGAGAAAAAAATGAGTGGAAACTAAACTTAGGGTTTGAGATTTTTTATCACGAAAAATATACAAAACCCAAAATAATATATATGGTGTTCATAATTTTTGGAGATTTTTCTTTTACATGACACTATTAACAAAATATCTACACATGACTTGTCTCTTTCACTTCACACAAACCTTAATTTTGTTGTAAGAAAATAATTTTTTTTTATTTATTAAATAAAAAAGTTTACGTTACATATGTACACTTTCTCTAATCGTTTTTGTCAAACTTTTTGGCTGTGTCTTCTGTGTTTGTTTAAATGTTATGTTTAACTTTTTCGAAATACCATAAAAAAATACCATAAAAAAATAAAAAAGTATTTTCACTTTATAAATTTGAACAAACAATAATAAAACTTTATAAGTAGATAAAAAAAAAAGTCTTCCGTGATTTCAGCAAATTCTATCCACATGCACTGAACGTAGTCCGCTAACAAAATTTTCTCCGCGTTGACTTTAATGCGAAACGTATTTAATGGGCTGACGTATGTATAGGCCCATAAGCCCATAATGTAACCGCTTAACAAATTTTGAAATGTTTTGCAGGATTAAAGGAGGATGGGGATGGAGGTTATCTCTAGGTTTGGCTGGAATTCCCGCGCTTCTTCTAACGGTAGGAGCTTTAATGGTGACCGAGACACCGAACAGTTTAGTCGAAAGAGGTCATCTCGACGAAGGTAAAGCTGTTCTTCGTCGTATTCGAGGTACGGATAATGTGGAACCAGAGTTCAACGATCTGCTTGAAGCTAGTAGACTTGCTAAAGAAGTTAAACATCCTTTTAGAAACCTACTTCAACGTAGAAATCGTCCTCAGCTCGTTATCGCCGTCGCTTTACAGGTTAGTATTATCACTTCTTTGTTCATTTGAAGTCTATTTGATCTTGAAATTGTTAGAGCTCTTAATTAAGGATCAAGAAACCCTAACTTGTTTGTCAAGTCTCATAAATTTTTGATCCCATTGTGTTCAATTTTTAACTGTTTACTAAGTAGAATTTGAATTTGATGTTTTTTATTTGGGTGAAATTTGCAGATTTTCCAACAATGTACTGGAATCAACGCGATTATGTTCTATGCACCTGTTCTGTTCAGCACATTAGGGTTTGGTAGTGACGCTGCTCTTTACTCTGCTGTGGTTACCGGAGCAGTCAATGTCTTGTCCACTGTAGTCTCAATCTACTCTGTAGACAAAGTTGGTCGTCGTGTTCTTCTTCTTGAAGCTGGTGTTCAAATGTTCTTCTCTCAAGTCGTTATCGCCATCATCCTAGGCATCAAAGTCACAGATCACTCTACAAATCTCTCCAAAGGATTTGCTATTCTAGTCGTGGTAATGATCTGCACTTACGTGGCTGCTTTCGCGTGGTCTTGGGGACCGCTCGGGTGGTTAATCCCGAGTGAAACATTCCCTCTAGAGACACGTTCCGCGGGACAAAGTGTGACGGTCTGCGTTAACTTGCTCTTCACGTTTATCATAGCTCAAGCTTTCCTCTCGATGCTTTGCCATTTCAAGTTTGGGATATTCATCTTCTTCTCGGCTTGGGTTCTGATTATGTCTGTGTTTGTGATGTTTCTACTTCCTGAGACTAAGAATGTGCCTATCGAGGAGATGACTGAGAGAGTGTGGAAGAAGCATTGGTTTTGGGCTAGATTCATGGATGATCACCATGATCAAGAGTTTGCAAATGGTGAGAAGACTAATGGTAAATCTAATGGCTTTGATCCTTCAACACGGCTTTAATGAGTCAATATAACCAAAGTAGAAGCAGAGAAGAGAGTGAACAAGGAAATATATTTGTACTAAAGTTTCGATACTTTGAACTATGTTTTGTGAATAGGTAAAGTCTTGTTTTGGCTTTGTTGTGATTCCATTTTCTGACAAAGTGTTCTGTTCTTTCTATGAGCTAATGAAGATGTATATTTAATAATAGTCCGAATTTTCATTATTCATATTACTAAATACAATTCAGATCTTTAAATACGCACCACTCACATTCACATACATTGACAACGATATGTAAACTAATGTAGCAATCTCTATAATAAGAGAGATAGGAGAACCTTATAATTTAACAAAACAACAAATTATAATATTATTCGAAGATAATATAATAACAAGAAGAGAAGACTTATGACTTATAAATGACTTATATGTTAATAGGCAAATAATAGTATATTCAACAAAGAACCACACAAGGCAGATGAAGATAAATCAGAAACTTCTGTTGACCAATGACTTAATGACTCTAGCATGTGAAATAAGATAGACGTGTAAAATTCTCATTGGCTACCTACAATTTCCCACTGTGCTTCACTACTTCGTCTTCTACGAGAAAACGTACAAGTAAACATCCCAATGGTCTCTTTTATTTTTTCTCAACTCTTTGAGAGAAAATAATTTTTAAGTTTTAGCAAGTATGGCCGGAGGAGGATTTGCAACGGCTTCGGCGAACGGAGTCGAGTTCGAGGCAAAGATAACTCCTATAGTTATCATCTCTTGCATCATGGCTGCTACGGGCGGCCTCATGTTCGGCTACGACATTGGTGTCACTGGTATTTATATATATATATATATATATATATATTAACATGTCTCTTTATTGTGTATTATTTATTATCTATATACTAGATTAAAAACCCATGCGTTAGCTATGTCACCAATATTTATTTGTAAATAATTAATTACTAATATAAAATGCTTTAACAAAATAATATATAAAATACTTTAGAACAAATGAATTTTTATTTAGATGGTGTGTTATTCATCCAAATGGCGAGATTTTTCTACTTACCTGGAAGAAATAATATCCATATGGAAGAATTCTTAATCTTTTTTCTGCTCCTTATTTCTCATAGCGCAAATGTTTAAGCATATAACTTGGCACTACGTGTTCGTACTACATTATGTCACCTATGTAGACAATGTTCCTTCTAATTGATTCGTTTGAGTTAATCAATATACTTTCTTGACAAAAAGAAAAAATAATGAAATTTCCATTTGCTAGTTTGATAATCGATGTTAAATACAGAATAAATAATATAAAAAACTTGGCTTTCGAACCAATTACCAAGGAGGACTTAAATCTCTAATTGCCAAACTTTGAAAGCCAAGCTTTTTTTTTCTTTTGATAAAAAAAAAAAAAAAATTCTTTCGATCAACCTATAAAAAGAAAAAATCTTGGCTTTCAAAATTTGGCAATTAGAGATTTAGGTCGTCCTTGGTTCAATAATATAGTGACAAAAGTAGTCTCATAGGTTTTTTTAGAAAAATACTCATGAGGTTTTAGTTAAACATGGCTTCTGAAATATATATATATATATATATATATATATATAAACATTAATTTAGTTTCTAAATGACATGGTCATTGGTTACACGTAGGTGGAGTGACAGCAATGCCGGACTTTCTCAAAAAGTTTTTTCCGGTGGTTCACCGACGAGTAGAATCCGGTACAGACAAAAACAAGTACTACTGCATATACGACAACCAACGGTTACAACTTTTCAAATCATCTCTATACTTAGCCGGTTTAACCGCGACGTTTTTCGCTGCATACACGACGAGGAAGCTAGGACGGAGGCCAACGATGCTCATAGCCAGTGGATTCTTCATCATCGGTGTGGTTCTTAATGCGGGGGCTCAAGACATAGTCATGCTTATTGTAGGCAGGATCTTGCTTGGTTGTGGAATTGGGTTCGCTAACCAAGCTGTTCCTTTGTTCTTGTCGGAGATTGCACCAACTAGGATCCGTGGTGGTCTTAATATTCTCTTTCAGCTTAATATCACTTTTGGTATCCTCTTCGCCAATCTTGTCAACTATGGAACCGCGAAGTAAATGCTCTCTCTTCCCTAAATTTTTTTTTAACTCTTGATTTATTATTTATTGCAAATTATGAGAATTGTTACAATAACGATTCTACTACCGACAATTCTGTCCGACCCTAATTAATACTCTTTTTTTGATAAATATTTTTTTTTGATAATAAGAGAAAAAATATGTAGAAATTAAATTAAAGCAATGATAATTTCCAAAATGATCCAAAAGAAAAATCCAAATAAATATATGGTTGTCATAATTTAACATTTTTTTTGCTTAAAATGACTCTATTGGAAAATATCCACTTGAACGTCTCTTTCACTTCACATAACCTTGAATTATATAAAAAAAAGTTTTTCGTTATATATGCACTTTCAAATTAATTTTGTGATCGTTATTATCAAATTTTTGTCTTACTTGTTTTCTTAAATTGTATTTTTAAATTTAGAAAAAAAAATATTTCTTCATAATTAATTACCAAAATTGTACATTTTAACTATAAGTTAATTTGAAATGTTTGTAGGATTAAAGGGTGGGGATGGAGGCTATCTTTAGGTATGGCGGGAGGTCCCGCGCTTCTTCTAACGGTCGGAGCTTTACTGGTGACCGAAACACCGAACAGCTTAGTCGAAAGAGGTCACCTCGATGAAGGTAAAGCCGTTCTTCGTAGCATTCGAGGTACTCATAATGTCGAACCAGAGTTTGCCTATCTACTGGAAGCTAGTAGACTTGCTAAAGAAGTTAAACATCCTTTCAGAAACCTTCTCCATCGGAGAAATCGTCCTCAGCTTGTCGTCACCGTGGCTTTACAGGTCAGTAGTGTTACTTATCTCTGATAATTGATGATCCAAAGAGTTAGTTTTTTGGTCTAGATAGTTTAATTGAAGTGATTTTGTTTTTATTGCTTGGAATTGGATTCAGTCTTAGTCGATTTTAACGGGATTTGAAGTGAAAACGTTATAATTCTCGAATTTTCGGATCCAGAAACCATAGATTTTGAAGCCAAACTACTAATCTCTTCTTAGGTTTTGTGAAGATTTGACTTCGTTGTGTTCAAGTTTGGACCAAGAACCCTAACTTGCTTTTCAAGTTTCCATAATTTTGATTCCATTGTGTTCAGTTAGATCATGCTGTTAATGTTAATTCTTTATATATTGTGTGTAAACTGCAGATTTTTCAGCAATGTACTGGAATAAATGCGATTATGTTCTACGCTCCTGTTCTGTTCAATACTTTAGGGTTTGGCAGTGACGCTTCTCTCTACTCTGCAGTGGTCACTGGAGCAGTCAATGTCCTCTCGACATTAGTCTCGATTTACTCTGTTGACAAGGTTGGTCGCTGGGTTCTCTTCCTTGAAGCTGGTGTCCAAATGTTCTTCTCTCATGTTGTTATCGCCATTATCCTTGGCAACAAAGTCACTGACCACTATACAAATATCTCCCAAGGTTTAGCGATTCTAGTCGTGGTAATGATCTGCACTTATGTCGCTGCTTTCGCCTGGTCTTGGGGACCGCTCTCGTGGCTAATCCCGAGTGAGATATTCCCTTTAGAGACACGTTCTGCGGGACAAAGTGTGGCGGTCTGCGTTAACTTGCTCTTCACGTTTATCATCGCGCAAGCTTTTCTCTTGATGCTTTGCCATCTCAAGTTTGGTATATTCATCTTCTTTTCGGCGTGGGTTTTGGTTATGACTTTGTTTGTGATGTTTCTACTTCCTGAGACTAAGAATGTGCCTATCGAGGAGATGAATGAGAGAGTGTGGAAGAAGCATTGGTTTTGGGCAAGATTCATGGATGATCATATACAATAATGACCAAAGTGCTTCTGAGTAATGAGAAATAGTAATTGTAAATCTAACACCGTTGCCCTGAATTGATTTAAGCCAAAACCAAAGTGCTTGTCTACGAACAGATGGTAACTAATGATAAACTTGTATTGAAGTTACAGTCGCTGGTGAATGCTGAAGTGATCTAATTGGTCAAGATATTAAGATCAAAGTTGGTAACATACAATAAAAAATGTATCATAGAGGTTTTGAATTGGTAAAGAAGTTATGTTACCAAGATGTAGGAGGAAGAGTAGCTGCGAAGTAGAAATATTAAAAGATGATTCAAAGAATTTAGCAGACCGAACCAACCAACTCACACCATTCTTTCCTTACAAGCCTTGCAAACTTTATATGAACACTTTAATAACTAATTATAACAATTAAGAATTATAGGTTTATTAATTATTTATTTTCTTTGTGTTTTTTTTTATATATCATATTGTCAAGACTTATGGTTTCTAACTTGAAATCTTGTTATAATAACTGGTTATGGGTTGATCTTACAATTATTGTTTCTCATATATTAGCCAAATTTAACAATTTTTCAAGGCAATAAAAGAGAAACAAGTAAAGTAAGCAATCTTTGTCGGTATTTTGCTTTTTAGACACTCCTTTCTCCAAATTAGCCAACTAACCAAATAAAGATCAACTAACCTCTCTATACATACGCACCACTCACATTCACATACCTATATACACACAACACACGATTAAAAGAAAGAGAGACATTAAAGTTTAACTTCTCGACCAAAGAAGAAGAAAGAAGAGTGTGTGTGTGTGTGAGATAGAGAGTCTAGATCGATGGCGGCGAGGGTGGTTTTGGCGTTGGTGTGTTTAGTGGTGATGGGACGGCTGAGTGAAGCTGCGGTATACAAAGTCGGCGACTCAGCAGGATGGACAACCATAGCTAACGTAGACTACAAGCTATGGGCTTCTACCAAAACTTTCCACATTGGTGATACTGTTTGTGAGTTCTTTAATCTTCTCTTACCATTAGATTTGAAACATTAATATTGAGCAGATCTTGACTGTAATAGTTATTATAAGAAATTGTGGCCCTTCTAGCAATCTTAAATTATTAAGTACGTAAGCTTTAGGTGTAAAGTATATAAAGAGTACCACTCACGCCCTAATCATTTATTTGTCAGAAATAAAATTATATATAAATACAAAAAGTGTCATTTTTGATATTATTATGAATCAATTATAAAAGTATAAATGATTATTATTATTATTATTATTATTACTTTAGAACTTTTATCGTTAAGTAAATATGATAATTATAATATATAGATAAACATAGACATGAGCATATATGCTCTCATGCACATGTATAAAGTGTTGTTTTGTTACCTATGGCTTTATGAAAATGTGAGTAAAACGTAAACTAATATTGATTTTGACAGTGTTTGAATACAACCCACAATTCCACAACGTAATGAGAGTGACGCACCAAATGTACAGAAGCTGCAACAGCTCAAACCCAATCTCCACGTTCACCACCGGAAACGACTCAATCACACTCACCAACCACGGCCACCATTTCTTCTTTTGCGGTGTTCCCGGCCATTGCACAGCCGGTCAGAAACTTGACCTCAACGTCCTCCTCCCTGCCTCCTCCTCACCACTCTCTGAGCCACCAACCTCATCTCCTTCTCCGTTGACTACTACTATTCCTGCAGCCGGAGTCCCCGGCCCTTCTCCTAACTTCAGTGCTTCTCTCCCGACTGTGGCGGTGGGTCGAGTTTTGGTCGTGGTAGCTCTTCTAGTCACTTTGGTCTTTGGAAATTTTGGTTCTTAATTAGAACATGTACCTAGTGAATTTTCATGTTACACCATTTCAACCCAATTTCCAAATTGTTGAGATTTAAAAAATTGTTCAATAAATATGGGTTTGACTACTTTCTTCAACACTTTAGTCCTAAGATGTACCGTACGTCTAGATTTCAGAAAAAAAAAAAAAAGAAGATCCGTCTAGATTTTGGTTCGGTTTATTTTTTTGGTTATTCGATATTATTGTTAATTACAATAGTCATATAATAACTAAGGTCAAAATATCTTATATCAGATTATTTTGTACATAAAATTATAAATATGTGGACTAAGTTGATTGATTTTTTTTGTAATGCTATGAAAAGAGCAGCCGAAAACATAAACTTGGGTGAATTGTTAATATTTTTTGTCTATCTATAATTCATCTCCACACACAACTAACAATATAAATGGATTTATGCCCAAGATGAAATTTTTCGTGGTACTTCTCTACACGTAGCTTCTATCAGTGGATGTTTCTGCATCATTTGTCGTTTTTCAATCAGCTGTCGTTTTTCACTAAGACAAATTCTCCATCGATTTCGTCCACATCAATCCTCATCACCCCACTAAGTTCGTATAATGCATCATTTTTAACTACTTTTATATGGACATTCAAAATAGTTTGTACCAAAATTGTTAGTCACTTTATATCTAAACTTCTATATTCATGTAAAGTGAAAAAAGACTAAAAAAATTAGCTGTTATCATTATTTTGACGATAATATATTTATTAGTGTGAAGATCTCAAATCATTTTGATTATTAACACTTTCAAAATGGAAATTGATTAAGCAAATTTTCTATGAAATATTGATTTGTATCTTTCAATTAAAAAAATTAAGGAAACATCATATATATTCTTCACTTGATTTTTTTTCTTGTAACTATAGCAAGTAATATGCTACCAAAACAAAAACTTTATCAAAAAAAAAATCATACCATATATGACTAGATTGTAACCATTTTTGAAAATCACAAGAGTCTAGTTTGCGTCTTTCATGATATGACGTAAATGCTTCTTTCATGATATGACATAAATCCACAAAAATCCTAATGACATAGTAATATGTGTTACTCAAAAGAAAAAAAGTTTTGATATACAGTTTTTTCTGTGTAATATTTCATTGAATTTTTTTAGTTCCTATAGACTAAGAAATAAATAGGAACACAATTCTTCTAATAAAAGATAAACAAAAATTTGAAAATTCCACATCTAATAATTATTTACATATTTGAGTAAATCGAATTATAGATGTAAGTTGAATAAGTTATTTTCTTATAATATTTAACATATCAATATTTTAAATAACTACAACATTTATTTTCATAACAATTTAATTTATCATATGTATAAGTTAATAATTATATGTTTTCTATATTAAAAATTTACAGTGGCCTATTTTAATAATTAAACCCATTTAACTAGTAATTATTTTTTAATTAAAAAAAATCAAAATAGCTTAAGAATTTGAACTTGACTAGTAGTTTGCAGCAAGATGCTTCTTTAAGGGATTTGTTTGAACTTGACTATAAAAAAATGAAACTAGCTATGAACAAAATTGTAAAAATGAAACACTCTAACTTTACCTTACCTCGATCTTTCACATAAATTTAAAACCAAGAGAGTTTTATTTCATTGATACCAAAACAGCAAAAGAAAGAAAACTCACAAGAACAGAAATGTTGATTACATTACAAGCATCAACACAACTTCGTCTTATTACAAACTCATATCAGTGATCTTTAAGCGGAGACAATGTTGGTCACAGAGACCTTAACCATCTCAGCTTCAAAGATAATAGCATCATTCACCATAAATCCTTTTGATGGATCCTTTAAGTCTGCTAACAATATGATATTGTTCACTCCCACACCATAACCGCTTCGAGTCGGGTACCAAGCTGCAGCTGCAAAGTAAGGAAAAAAAAAGAACAAATCATATCAACTATTCATATTATTAACTGAGTCTTTCTCACATAGGGATAAACATTTATTTTGGATTAGTATTCTTACAATATAGTTGTTTGTGGTTGGAGCTTCGTTGATTCTTTAACCGTAGATTAACAGCTCCCCAAGTGTTTGTAGCAACTGCGTTTGCCTTATGGCCCTGAGCATATAGGAAGAGTGGAAGTGCATGTGGTCTTCCTCCTCCATCTCCTTTCGGGTTAAATCCTAGTCTCCTGATTAAACATTTACCAAAAACCGTTATCAAACTTGGCGATCGCGGAATTAAGATGATATTTAAGAGTTGCAAGCATTGAGATTAATTTGAAGTTTAAGTCTAAAACGAATATGGATACCAAAAATATACTAACCAGTATCGGTCTTCGACGAGGAAATCATCAGAGTAATAGAATTTATCTTCCAAGTTAGAGAAATGTAGTATCTTCCAAGTGAAAACATTGTTTGGAGGGTTTGATATGAATGTAACTTTCTCTTGTTGTTGAGCCGGCTTAACGACGAATATCTCAGCACCAAAAGAACCAATGTCCTGCTCAATGTACCCTTCGTTCGTGTTGTGAAATGTCGAAAGAGCAATCAACTGTCCAAATCCCCATTGTTTTTTCACAGTGCTGTACCGCTTCACTGTTCCATCTACACAAATCAACAAATATTCCAAGAAACATTAGACTAAGATTTATGAGAAATCTTGGCAAAAACAGAATACATGTAGTAAAAATGATATACTAGTACATTGTAAGAAGTACCTGTAACAGTCAGATACTTGTGTAGCTTAGCATTGTGGACAAAGAGTTTGAGATCAACATTCACTTCCCAACCTTCTGGAAGATACTCTGTCTCTTCCATCCTCGCGTAAAGCGAGATATAACCATTTCCACCGTCGTTTGGATTACCATTCACGTACAAAACTAATCTCCTGATGTTTGTTTCCCCAATCAGAATATAAAAACGAGTAAAAATGAAACAAAAGAGTGAGTGAGTGAGTGAGTGTTTAAGATCTTTTTACCATTTGTAACCAGCAGCCTCAAAAACAGAGGATTCATAAGGTTCATTTCTATCCTTAATCACAGAGAAGCTTGTTATTGTCACTATCTTACTCGATGGTCGCGCATCCCTCAACTCTCTTGTCACTCCTAGTTAACAAATAATGAATTCCAAGAAAATCAAGAAATGGTTTTGAGTTTTAACCAAGAAAATCAAGAAGTTGTTCTCAGTTTAGAATCAAGAAAGACAAAGAAGTGTACCAAGATTTGAGGTGAGACTGTTAGAACTATTGGACTCTATTCCTCTGCCTTCTATGACCTGTTTGATGATGAGCTCAGCGGAAGAGGAAGTGATGAAGAGAAACAAAGCTAGAGATATGAAACCTAGAGTACTCCATCTTTGACTATCCATAATTTTGAGTTCTGTTTTATTTTCTTGGGAAGAGTTTACATTTATATAAGCAGAGTCAGAGAGAGAGAGAGAGATACATACTTGAGTTTCGTTACATTTACAACTTACAAATATAAAATTCTGAACGTGGATTTATCGTGGGGACAAACAAATACATATATTTTAAGGTATATCATCAGATTTGATTTGGTTTATTGTTATTTTTTATTATTTTTCAATGTCCTTGTCTATTATTTAACCAATATTTCTATGGAATTTTTTTTTGGCAGATCTCGATGTAGTGGATTTGATTTTTTATAATAGCAAAACGTTGTACACGAGATCTTATAGTAATGATACTTATCATAATTATCCATCTATGTAATGATTTAAATTAGTGTCACTGATTAATTAAATTTTTTTATATAGATAGAGACGATAGCAACGTACGTTCACGTTCAACCTGAAGGCTCTTGGGTCCGTTAAATAATATAATCTGAAGACACTTGGTTGGAAAATCGGCCAATTCATACCTAGCCTAATAGCGAGTGTTCAATTCATATCCAACATTTGTCTATGTGCAAATACATACTTAACCTTTTAACATATTTAAATTTCATACCTAATTATCAATTTGTATGAAGTTATACATATTGCTGACATGGATGCCACGTCTTTGATGATGTTGATGACGTGGTAGCCACATCCTCGATAATGTGGTTGCCACGTCATCATCTTTCAAAAAAAAATCTCTCATTCTCCATTAATATTATCCAACAAAATTGTGATTTTTATGTAAATATTTAAAATCTTGTTTTCAAAATTTAGAACCATTATTTCAACCGAATCTAATTTTTAAAAGATTATAAATCCAAAACTCACAATTGATCTTCAAAAAAATCCTCAAGCCACTTTTAGTAGAGAACATAAACCTTAAAATAAACTTGTATAAATATTAGTTGAAAGACGGTTTTAAGTGGAAGACAAAAATAGAAATATTTAATTACATGTATTGCCATTGGAATAATTGTATTTTAAAAAACAAAATACAATTTCTCATTAATGGTAATATTGTATTTGTATCTTAACTTATATCTATGTTTTCAAAAATTAATATATAAGGTTGTATAATTTATGTTTTTACTCAAAGCGACTTGAAGACTTTTCGAAGAGGAATTACAAATTTTTAGTTTATAACCTTGAAAATAAGTTTTAAAATCTTTAGAAAAAATCAAAAGTGATACTTGTTATTGATAATATTAATAGAAAAGAATATAAAAAAGAAAAAAAAAAGTTTTATTTTGCTTTAAAATATGATGACGTGGCAATGACGTCATCGAAAATGTGGCAACCACATCATCAATGTCATCAGTGACATGGCATCCATGTCAGCAGTCGGAAAAATGGACGTATGATTTTCTACGATTTACAAAGTTCGGGTATGTAATTTGAATTTTTTTAAACATTAGGTATGTATTGGTACATTGACAAATGTTAGGTATGAATTGAACATTCAAGTTTATGTTGGGTATGATATAACCAATTATCCACTCTTGGTTCCATTAAATAATTTAATCTTGCTTAAAGATCTACTAGGTGGGATATTTTGGTGGTTGATTTCATAATCTTTGAAGCCAAAATGGTTATGGTTTCTGTGACCATCATGGCATCATCGTCCCTACTTGAGAATCTCTCTACTTGTTTAGTATCGAGACGTGTTTATTTTATGAATAAGAGAAGATGATTTTAGTCTTGTTCTCGTTACTAATGTCTGTTGGACATGGGCTCTGCCTCATTAACGATACCCATGTTTGGTCCGTAAAAGTGTTGACTTGGTTTCTAAAAGGTTTGACCAGAATAAAGACAAAATAGCCCAATAAGAATAAATAGATGGCCCATTATGTATTCGGCCCGACATAAGTTTACCCGCGTACGAATTGCCTCCGTAAAGGCACCTGCATCAGCGTTAGTAGAGGGAATCCAAAAACAAAAAAAAAATTGTGCGACGTCAACTAAAACGGAACGGTCCTGCGTTTTTTCCTTCACTAATCGCGGGCCCCACTGACACATGGCGGCCCGCGATTGGTTTCCTTTTTTAAAAAAAAAACTAAAAGCTAGAAAAAAAAATATGTTGAAGGACGATTTACCGATGCACACGCTCTAAAGTACCAATGTCTAGGTCATATGATGCAGAGGACATTATAAAAATAGAAATAGCAATATGACCCTAAAATATACATTTTGACCCTTTTAAATTTTAAATTTATATTTTCAATCCAATAAATTTTGCCTTTTAACCCTATTAAAAATAAAATTATTTTAAACCCGTAAATTTTGCTTTTTGACCTTATTAAAAGACAAAATTTCAGTTTAGCCTGTATTTAATTTTGTATTTTGATCTTTGGCAAAAGCCTAGAGATCGTCGGTTCGAGTAGCGTTTGAGACGAGACTATATTATCTGTTCTGGTTTCGGATCTGAGAGGATGTATGCATTTCGACCCATATGCTCTTAGTTAAAAAGGAAAATACACATGAGAACTGTATAACCAAAGAAGTCTCCATTATTAATACCAAACCTGAAGAAGCATATTATAACACAAGAATCAACAAGTTGGTCTCTTACAACAATTTCTTGCTCCCGGCCTATATGACAAAAATAACTCAAAAATAGAAAACGAATTTGATTGATCAACTAGCTGATCAAGCAGTTCTCCTCTCGACGTCATGCTCATCTTCCTCACGCATAAACCTTTTCCAGTACCAATGCAGTTTCCACACACTATCTCTCATGTCATCGATCGAGACTCCTTTAGTCTCCGGCACGAAGAACAAAGCGAAAAGTCCCATCACAACGATCCAACCACTGAAGAAGAAGAATATCCCTGACTTCATCCCGCAAAGCAATGATAGGAAGGCCTGAGCAATCACGAAGGTGAAGAACATGTTGCACGACACGGCTAGTGCGAACCCTTCGGTTCGGGTCTCCACGGGGAAGGTCTCGCTAGGGATTAGCCATCCTAGAGGACCCCATGACCAAGCGAAACCCATAACGTAAAGACACACGAAGATCACCACTACTAGGGCTTGTGGTCGTCCTAGCGTACCCGTCACGTTTAGGTCCTTGGCTAGGATGATTCCAATGACCAACTGTATTGAGAAATTTTTTAGTTTTGCATGATAGCTTGTGAGACAAGAAACGTTAATTTAACTAGGGTTCCTCCTAACTTGGGTAACAAGAAATACAGAGAAGATGAAAAAGACCTGGCAAACAAGCATGTGAACGGAAGATTGGAGCAATAGAAATCTCCGGCCAGTTTTGTCGACGAGGAAAATTCCGACAAACGTGCTGAGAACGTTGATTGATCCCGTGATAACCGCGGAAAGCAGAGCTGCGTCATTTCCAAACCCTACAGTCTGGAACAAAACCGGGGCGTAGAACATAATTGCGTTGATTCCAGTGAACTGTTGGAAAAACTGGAGCAACAATCCAATCACCAAAGGCGGCCGGCTCTCGGGTTTCATCAGTTTCGTGTAAGGGTCCTTGACCTGCCTCGCGAAATCGCAAGCATGGACGATTGATTCATACTCTGCATCAACATTTTCAACACCTCTGATCTTCTTAAGCGTGTCTTTGCCTTCCTTGGTTTTGTTCCGCTCGATAAGACTCGTTGGTGTTTCGCATATCAGAAGCGATCCAAATAGGAGGATGAGGGCAGGAACCCCTGCACCACCGAGGGCCATTCGCCATCCGTAAGGATGAATTGAGGAAGTGAAGAAGTTGACAATGTTGGCAATTAAGATCCCAATTGTAACCATTAGTTGGAAAACAATGTTAAGACCTCCACGAAGCCTGGCCGGAGCAATCTCTGATAAGAAAAGTGGTACCGCCTGCAAGAAATTTAGATACATTCTATAATGCTTAGTCACTGAAGAGAACCTAAAAATTCAAGATCTCATACAAACTAAGAGGCATATAAACTCATATAGAAAACGTAAAAAAAAAAGATCATAACGTTATACCTGATTACCAAAGCCAACACCAAAGCCAAGCAAGATTCTACCAAAGATCAGCATGTACATGTTAACAGCTCCTGCGGCAAGACCAACACCAATCAAGAAGAAGATAGAAGCGAGCTGCATTGTTGGTTTACGTCCGAGCTTAGAGCACGTAGCAGAAGCGAAGAAACTAGCAACAAGAGCCGCAAGGTATAGAGAAGAGGTGAAAAGCTGCAAGAACTGGTTATTGTACTTGCAGTAATTGTTCTCGTGCGCATGCTTCTTCCTCTCGTACACAGATGGGAAAAACTCCTTCAAGAAATCGTCCATCGCCGTTACTCCACCTGTGATAAAGTATATACACTTTTTAAAAAACGTTTCTTGATCCAAAAGGGATATATCTAAATACCTAATTAGCTAGATTCAGTTTCTTGATTCATAAGTAACGCTAAAAAAACAAAGAACATAAGATAATGGCAGAGAAGAGGACCGAACCAGAGATTCCAATGTCGTAACCAAAGATCAAACCACCTACAGCTGCGATAATGACACAGATGAAGACATAAACAGTCATCTTCCCTTCGAAAACCTGAGAATTACCACTAGAAGATATAACCACAGCCATTGTTTTAACGTTTATGCTTAGCTCTCACAAAAGCTTTGTTTTGTGTCTATATGCTTTTCTCTGCAGTCTTGTAAGAGAAGAAGCGAGAGAGAAGCAGACACAAGATCTTTACTTGTAAATGAGACAAAGCAAGGTTTATATATTTATAATACAGATCAAGAAGATAGATAGAGATAGAGAAGACACGGAAGAAGATAAGAGATGATAATGTCTAAACATAGAATACAGGTTGTGAAATGAGTAAGGATGAAAAAATTTTGATTGGTTGGTCAAATAGATTATTTTACAGTCAATATCTTGATTTCAGTTTTTTCCCTTTTGAGGTTTATAATTCGTATTCTGTTTCCAATAAGTTTTTTTTCTTTTCCTTAATTACGTTTGGATTTGGTTAATCCAAAACACCTGTCTGCAATTAAGAATGGGTA